GTCCTGCTACGTAAAACCATAGAACTCAAAGAGGGTGTACTTTCTTTTTCACACAACTGTATGAGGTTTGAAATTGAATTCTGCAGTGAGAAGCACCCTCTCCTCTTGATAGCACTTGGAGTAGAGTTGCAGCATTGGTCATCATGGGAGAACAATTTTCATTCTTGCTACTGTCTCTGATTCATTCCCTAGTTGAGGGAGTTTAGGGACTAATTATGAAAGTAAGACTCTGAACTTATATTAATTTAAAGGGTGGACAAAGAGCACCTATGAGCACTAGGATGTCTACCAACACTCTAAATAGCATATGGGACACCCTGAAATTCAGAGAAAACAATATTATTTTAAAAATGACTGAAATATCATTAAATCTCTAATCCTAAGAAATTTTCACATCTCACATGAGACCACCAATATTTTCCAAAAATATTGCTATTCTTGCATGAGATTTCAGACATTTTTTGGGGGAGGACACCTTCAGAATCAAGTCAAGGTGCATTGTTTTGTTTTCTTCTCCAATATACTGTTTGAAAATGTGTAGTGGAAGATTGTTTAATCCTGTTTACAGTGACATAATAATTAAGTACCTGAATAGTTGATTTTTAGGAAAGATACTTCAGCAGGAGATTGGGTTATCATTTGAAATCAGAAATGTGTATATTTGTGGTATGCTGTATTTTTTGCTAACAGAATGGGCAAAGTGTATAAAAAATGAGAAGCAGCGTAAATACTCATTTTTAATGATGCACAATAAGTTGTATACAGTGTTGTGTCTGTATATGACTTTATCATAAATTCCTTGGGTTTGCAACTGGATTTATATTTCCTTAAAGCAAGTCATGCTGAACCCATGGACCTCACTTCTGAATAGAATTGCACTGTAGTCTGTTGTAAATCATTTGCATTCAATGGTGCTGCCAGGTGTGAGGTCCTAGGAAATATGCTGTCTGGGTTTCACACACCTACTCTTGAGAGCACCACCTTTCTTCCTCCTGCCCACTTCATCCTTCCAATACTTTATTTTCCTTTCCCCTTCCTCCCACTTTATCCATTGTTCCATTCCTCTTCTTATCAGACTGGTAATTAATACGCTGTCCAGGTTGCAGTTAGTGGACTTGAATTAGGTAGTTTAGTCCTATCAGCCCCATTATTGACATGGCAGTTGCAATGAGCATCCAGAACTGGGCAGTGCTCATTGCAATTGCCATTGAAATCCTTCCTAATAATCTTGCACATACTTCACTTACTCTGTATTGAATCCCAATAAAAATCAGATGGCTCAGAGAAGCTCCATCTTCCCCACCAGAAAGAATCTTTCTGAGATCTTCTGCAGCTAGTTCCTGGAGGATCTCACCAATATATCTCCACAGTCGTAAGTTCAAAACAATTCTCACTGAAGTGGTAAGAGGGTAGCTGGGCTGTACCAGTTTAGACCACGAGTTAAGAATCGTGTGGTGCATTGTTCACAGAAATAGAATAAAATAAAGATGCCTGGCATGTAAAATTCTAGTCTCCCAGTTTTCTAAAAGGAACAGCTTTAAAGCATCGAAGGTACATAGGCTCAGTGGATTTCTTTTAGGGTGATGTGATGCTTGTTGCTAACTTTTCATGGCGCACTAAAATGTTGCCTTATTATGCTGCCACCCATGTCAGTCTTTGTGGGAGCACATTTCCTGTTTCATTGGTCCTGTCTATATTTCTTTGCTCTGTCACCATATCTAGCTTTTCATCTTTTCAGGAACTGTCAACTCAAATCATCTTGCATCAGGAAACTATGCAGAAATTGCTTTCAGAGCCACGTCTGCTGGAGCTCCAGCGCCGTGGGGGCTCCCTGCTGGCACGGCTGCCTCCGTTGGGGCCCTGCAGGTGAGGAGCAATGTTAGAGGGCAATGCAACATCGGTGCAGATGCTCTTTGCCTTCCTTTCTAACACATTCCACATTCCTGTTGGTTATGCAAGGTATATAAAATAGCATCGCCACCCGTGGATGAAAAAAACCAACAACACTTAAGTACTCTTCAGTGTTGTACAATGCGCTCTCCTGTGCACTGAATTTGTATAATAAAGTGATATGTTAATGTCTCAGGAGGTGATTGTCTATGGCTGCTTTATATGTGGGGTGGAATAACTTAGTTTGACAACTTGCCATTCTAATGAAAACAATTTCCATGTGGGCTGAAGTACTAATTATATTTGATCTTAATATTTCTCCACCTATTTCTTCTCTGTTGTAGTTTATAGTTCTTTGTCTTCTTGCTTCTCACCCTAAAGGGGCAGCCTCACAAAAATTCTTTTCCTACGAAAAACAAGAATATTTTTTTTAGAAAGTCCATTAAGAAAGTATTATATGTATTGGCAGGTAACCGTAGTTTGTTCTTAAAGCATACGAATGGATGTGAAAAGGCAACAACATTTGCCTCGTTTTAGGCCAGCAAAGAAACAACAAAACACTCTTGTAAGCAGTTCAGCCACCCAGCCCAGGAACATGTTGAGTTCAAGGCCAATTCCTTCTCCTCTGCCTTTGTTCTTCATAGATATGAAGATATGAAGAATTACTTAGCTAATTCCTGATAGATGTTTATCTAAACTTTTCTGAAAACTTTATTCTCACCTTTACCTTTTAAAACACAAGCAGTGGGCAATTGGTGCCCCCTCCAGCTGTTGAAGAACTACAGTTCCTAGGACCCATTGGTGACTCTGGTGGGAACTGCTGGGAATTGTAATTCAGCAGCATTTGGAGATAAATTCATTATGTCCAAGTGGGTCCTCCCTGGGATTAACCTGGCCCTTTTGGGCAAATGTTCTCTTTACTTTGTGCTATCTCAAAGTAAACTTTTCCCCCCATCTTGTAGTATGCAAGCTGTGGCTGCCACAAGACTCTATCAAGAGGTGGATGAAGCCCTTCATGGCCTTGTCCAGCTCAGCAACCAGTGTCTTGAGGTATTGCAGCAAGAGAATAAAAACACACAGGTAATTAATTTCTAAGATTTGTTTCTGTAGGAAGAGTTGGCTATAGTGAATGTCGTCTGCCACTCTGGAAAACCGAGCAAAGGAAATAATTAGACCTTTCCCTGAAGTTTGTCCCTACTACAGGAGCTTAAAAAAATGAAGTCAAGCAGATATTCTCACTAAATGTAATGGGCAAATCCTAGGTTCAAAGCTTTCCTCCCCCCCCCTTTTTTTTTTCCTTTGGTAATATACTCATCAGCAGTCAAGACTTATGACTTCCTGAAATCATGAGCCTTCTTACTAGGGATTGTTGAATGAGATGAATGGCTGTGGAGGCCGTCACTTCAAAAGCCTAATTTTCTCTAGGCTCGAGATGAGTGGGAGGTAAAGCGGCTCTGAGGAGCTGGGAGTTAGTTGGTTGAGAGAAAAAGGCTATGTAGGAGTTGTTGAATGAGGATGGATGTTCCCATTGATGTGCAGAGATGCCAGAATGGGGGAATGTGTTGAATTTCCCATCTTCCTCAAAAGCTGAAAAAGGTGGCAGTCAGTTGGAAGGCACCTGGTTCGAGAGAGGACATCTTACATATGTCAGTGTATCAGTAGAGTGACTATAGGAAGCAGTGAAAGGAACTCCTGGGATTTTCCAAGGTTGTCATTTTCTTTTTCCTCTAATCTCTCTCTCCATAGATTCAGCAGGAAGGCAAAACGTGTCTTCAGTCTGGAAGTGTGGAAAAGAAGAGAGAAGGGGAGAGACCAGCTGAGGGGCTAGCTGAAGGAGCATCCTTGGAGAGGAAACTGTTACAAAACCCCAGATCTTCAGGGAAGACACAGGTCACACCAGAAGACGTTTCCGTTCCCCGAGCCCGCGCATGCAGCATCAGTGCTTCCTCCTCACCTAAGCATGGCTGGGAGCTGGGGGCCAAGTTTGGCTCCTCTTGCAGTTTAACTTCTCTCTTCCAGCCACTTGCCAGCCCCAAGACCTCCCCTTGTTGTTCTCCTGCCCGAAGCAATGCCCTAGACAGCAGAAAGAAGAGGCAGGGGCCTCTCCCCATTTCCAAAACACCTGTATCTCCAGCTACCCACCTGGCATTAAGAGCCTTGAGTGATCCGGGTCGCCCTAGTGTCCATATACGTGGCCTGGAAGTGAGCAGCCGGGAACTGGCAGACAGGAGCTGTTCTCCCCGTGAACACGTGCTATTGGGGCGCAGCAGGACTCATGTTGCTGAAGCACCTTGGGGTGCCACACCTCGCATGGAAAGAAGGCGTTGCCTTGGGTGAGTAAGGGGGCATGAGAGTTGGGGAGAGTTTGTAGCTATCTTTTGCTTAGCTGTTCCACAACAGAATGGTAGGATTAAGAAGCTGTTGATTGCCTGGAGGCTTCATGTTTATAAAGACCTAGATATACAAGTAGGTTTGGCTCAAGACATTCTGGTACTAGAGCAGAAACTCTAAATGGCTTCTTCCCTTCAGGACCTGTTCTCTGTCATCTCAGACTGTAGAACAAATAATAATAGCTTTTAAGTTGCAGGGAGCAAGATTTAGACTGAATGTTAGGAAGAACTCTCAGACAAGAACAGTTCCACAGAGGAACAAATTACCTAGAGCAGTGTTTCTCAACCTTGGCAGCTTGAAGATGTGTGGACTTCAACTCCCAGAATTCCCCAGCCAGCATCTTCAAGCTGCCAAGGTTGAGAAACACTGACCTAGAGAGCTTCTCTGTCCTGGATGTTTTCAGACAGAGACTGGACAGATAACTGTGGGGAAGTTTTAATTGGATTCCTGCACTGAGCACTGGGGTTGGACTTGATGGACTCAATGGTTCCTTCCACTTGAATAAGAACATCACTTTGCTCTGTGTTAGTCAGAGTATTGTGTATTGTATCCCGCTCTGGGCACCACACTTTAAGAAATAGACCCACTGGAACATGTTCAGAGAAGAGTAATGAGTACAAACAAAGTCTTATGAAGAGAGGCTGAAGGAACTGGAAATGTTTTGCCTTGAGAAGGGTGTGGGGGAGAGTAGGACAGCATTACTTGAAAGGATGTCACACCAAAAAAGATTAAGACCTGTTCTCCACCATTCCTGAATGCAGAATACCAGATAATGAATTCAAGTTATAGGAAGGCAGATTCCAATGGAATCTTAGTGAAAACTACCTGAAAGAGCAGTTCGACCGCAGAACCAATTGCCCAGAGAAATGGTGGGTTCCCCTTCACTAGATGTGTTCAAGCAAAGGCTAGACAGCCATCTTTCTGGGATGGTTTAATTTGGATTCTAGCATTATGTAGGAGGTTGGACTTTCATGGCTTAAGTGGTTTCTTCCACCTCTGTTATTTTGTCATTCACCTGGGGCCTAGTCCTCTTAAAAATTTACCCTACAAAAAATTCATTGTCATAGACTTGGTTATTAACAAATGTTTTGATGAAGCTTGCTCAATGCTGCGCCTGAGAGACAAGATAAGCTGTCCTTCACTTTGCCAACTCTGTGGTGACCAAAATCCGTTACCAGTTGCTAATCTGCTAGTGCAGTGGTCAACCACATCATAACATAATAAACATTTTACTATCCTTTGTTCTATTTTCTGGTATTTGTTCCTATTCTGTATTAGGATTGTACATGTTCAGAAAATTATTGATGAAAACAGCCCCTCCCTGCTATTCATTAAAGCAGTTAGTTGCTTTTTAGGTTTCTACACAAGCCCCCCTCCTCCAATATGCTACTATCTTAATGAGCTGACTCATTACAGTTAATGCTAATCTTAAAGCAGCTACATCTTTTTTTTTTTCCCAGCCTGGCACAGAAATCTGAAAAACAGTGAGCTGGTTTAATGAATAGCAAGGAGGTATTACACTTGTGCAAGATCTGAAGCACCCTCTCTAAATGCACTGCTCTATTATGTATGTGCTTTGATTACATCCCACTGTAATCAGAATGCATACATGGATGCATTTTAAATTTTGCATAGTGCCTGGAGGAGCACTGTATGACAGGTGATATATAAATATTTCAAATAAATAAATAAAATAATCTGGAGGCACCTTGAACATCCAGAATCACACCCAATTAAAATAAAATTATATATTGATAGATACATAACATGGTTCAAAACACTGATGACACAAGGTTTTTTTTTGGTGGGGAGGAGCAGTCTGGGACCAGAACCAGTTGACAACCCTTGTGCTGATGCTGTGTTGCCAGATGTATTGTAACATTCCTCACTTGACAGGGCTGGGTCTCACCAGATGGTTCAGGCACGGCAGGGTGATGTTGTATGTGACCGTTCCTCCCTCTTTCTCCCCAGGGTCCAACAGCAGCTTTTGGTTGAGCTGCTGGAGTGCGAGCGGGAGTATGTGGGTGCCCTTACCCAGCCCCTCTCTCTGTCTCAGGAGCCCGGGGGACAGGCCTGGACAGCTGAGTTAAGGTGCCTGGGCAATGCCCTCCGGGCCACGCGGGACCGGCTGCTGGCCTTCCATTCCAGCTGCCTCCTGAGCGAGTTGGAGGAATGCATGAGCCACCCATCACGCGCTGGCGGCTGCTTCCTGCGCCACGTGAGTGCTTCCTTCCCTCAGCTGCTACTCCACCTGCTGCATGCTGGGCCCATTTCCTCTGTCAGAATTCCACCCCCTTCTTTCCTTCCTTTCTCACCCATCCACTGACAAAGCTTCCTTAACCACGTGACTGTCCCTTGGTTCTGAAAGGCTTTTCCCCCCTAATGTTCTGGCTTACGTGAAGTAGCAGCAAAGCAGAGATTTCCTCTGAGCATGTAGAGTTGCCTTTTGCTCAACCACTATAGCTTAAGAGTCTGTCGGTGTGATAGCACAGTTTTAGGGAAGAGGGCATAACTTCCAAATAGTTTTTGTGTTCAGCATCTTTCTTTTAGAAATAAACAATATTGATGTATTTGTAAATTTATATCCCACCTTTGTTCAGGAGCTGGAAATGGGGAGCTGGAAATGGGGAACATAGCATTCTGTCCTCCTATACTCCCAGTGGTAGGTTGGACTGAGAGAGGGTGATTCGTCCAAAGTTACCCAATAAACTTTGGTAGCTGAGGGTGGACCTGGTGCCAGTCCTAGTACAACACAGTGGCTTTCAAAATGTCCATACATAAGTCTTTAATAGCAGGTAAAATCTCCTTTGAGTAGAGCATGACTCCTGTTAACATCCTGGCCAGCAGGGTTGGTTGGTTGTTTTTTTCAGGCAACAGTGTGTAAGTGGTTTACCAGTGCCACAACCCTTGACTCTCATTGCTCTCTCAACTTCTACTCTTCCTTCTGTTTTTTTGTGTTTAACCTTTAACAAGGCTACCAGTTCTGGGCTGCAGAACTCCAGACAATCACTAGATGGTTGCAAAAAGGTACAGAAGACTTTCTCCTTGCTACCGTCTAGTGGCCATCTTGATTTTTGCATCCAAGATATGGTAGCCCCAACCTTTGGTTGCTTGCTGCATCCAGAGACAGCTGTTGGGATAAATCTATCTCTAATTGGTAAGAGTTAACAACCCCAGTCTTCAATATAGCAGCAGGACAGATAGCTACTATTTGTGGAGACAGTCTGGTTCACAGTAAATGCAGGGCTGGGGCTGTCCATCTTTAAAAAGCTAGGCAAAAGCTCCCTCCCCCCTTTTAAAAAGCTTGGGGTTCCTACCTTTGTTTTTTAAAGACTGCAGAAAGCAAAATAATGGCCAAACTGCCTTTCTTTCTGGTCAGTTGTTTGGAAATGTCTCTTTTGCACCGGAGCACTGTCCTTTTGTTTTGTCAGCACTATCCTTATACTTTGCTCTTGTGTTCTCCATGCTCTTGAGTTCCTGTTCCATTACAGGAAACCTTCGCCTTCATGCCTGCTACAAATTTTTTGCTTCTCTCCATTAATAAAAAATACGTCTTCCCTTTACAGAGCTGTCACCTTATTAAAATGTTCTGTTTTCTCCTTTGCCTTTAAAAGTCTGATAATACAAATCATCAGGGCGAGCTTTACTTAGCATGGAAATAAATGGATAAGGAATGTTAGTTCCTTAATTAATGCATGGAATTCAAAAGCAGCAAGGCTTAAAGAAAGAGATGGCAATCCTGTCTTCTGAGCTTGCCTTGAGATGAAATTTATCCTGTTAAAAAGGATGGAGGGTATAAGGGCAAAGACAAGCATAAATTGTCCCACAGGCTGGAGAGAAGAGGATTTTGCTCTGTTCCAGTAGCCAGTTTTCCTGGAATTTGCCTGACTGTTGCTCTGCTGATGAATGAGGGAGTCTCTTTCTCTCTCTCTTTCCCACCTTCAGAGAGAGGAGCTTCAACTGTATGCAACCTATGCCAAAGATCACCACAAGTTCCAGGCCGCCCTGGCTTTGCTTCGAAGCACTAGCAAGGTAAATGAGCTGCGGCCACGTGGCAGGCAGGGATGGCATGTCCCTTTTGACCTTGGGAGGCAGGATGAATTGCTCAACAGCAAAAGGAACTGCTGCTCATAAGAGGTCCTTTTTATTCATTGGATCCAGTGTACCTGAGGTTGGTATACTTATGGTTGCATTGAGAGTATGAAGTACAGCATCCTGGCCATCCGAAAAAAGCTTGGCTTTGGGGCGTTTGTATATTTTCATTCACTGTAGGGGAGAGGAATATGGGATTTCCAGGAAGTGCTGGCGTAAGGACAGCAATTGAGTGACACGTCTCTGGCATTTCATCCTAGCTTTCTGCCTTTATTCTCCTTCCTGCAGAAAGGCCTGACGGAGCCACGTGAGGATGGGCAAACAGCATACGCTTTGCAGGTGCCTCTGGAGCAGCTGGAACGGTACCGGCGCTTCCTGGGTGAGCTGCTACATGAATGTGAGCTCGAGCAGGGGCCTGACCGCCAAGCCCTACAGGAGGCCCAGCAACTGCTGGAGGCCCAGGAGCAGCGAGGCAGAGACCTGCTGGCCACAGAGCAGATCCGGGGCTGCGAGGTGAGCGCGTGGGCGCTCCCGTCATATGGTGCTGCCTCTTCCCTGCCGCTTACCGTGCATGTGCTATTTCCTCCCATGCCACTTGTCCTAAATCCACTAGATTAATCTTCTTCTCTGATATTTGCAAGGCTCTGTGCTATTGCCAAACTCTGATCTTCTTGGACTGTGCAAAGTTCTGAATACTTAGAGCAAACACCAGTTGTGAGCATACTGGGGGAACCAACTGCCTTCCCACTCCTCTGAGAACTGGAGGGAAGAGCAGCCTTAGTTTCACGAGTGTTCTTTTGCAGGTGAAACTGTCAGAACAAGGGCCATTACTGCAGCGTGGTGAACTCACTCTGCTGTCCGGACGCCGAAAGTGCCAGCGGCACGTCTTCCTCTTTGAACAGCTGCTACTCTTTACCAAATGTAAGGGAGCCGAAGGTGGCTATGTCTGCAAACAGGCCTTGCAGGTAGGTAAAGTGACTATCCTGAATAAATCCTTTCCCAGGGTTCAAGGACTAGAGGTATAATTTGAGGCCATTTCAATCCAGACTGATGAAATTGTTGTCAGGAATGAGATTGCCTTAGTTATCTGCTCAACAAATAAACATGATTTTCAGACCTGCACATGACAGACAGCTGAAAGCCACTGCAAATGCAGCGTGGAAAGAAGGATTGGGAAGAAAAATGTGGGGGAGACTGATTAACTCACCAATAGCTCAGCTAACACCAGGAAATAAAATTATAATTCTTGGTGAAAGGTCTTTCCAACAAGAAGGGCCTCTTTTCTCCTGGACCACCTGTTTCTCAGCCTTACTTCCTGTTGCAGATGGTGCAACAATATTTACTCAGAGACCTAGTTCATACATTGCAGTAAGCCATGTGTTTAATGATGATTTACTGCATAAGTCATAACTGATTGAGGCTGTACAACAGTGAAATGAAAACCAAACCAAACTGTAGCTTACTAAGAAATGTGAACACTATATTTTCTATTACTTCCTCTCTTTCTCTTCATGCAGACTGCTTCCATGGGGTTGACGGAGAGTGTGGGTTCTAGTGGGTTACGCTTTGAGCTTTGGTTTGGACGTGGACCAGCCCGGCAGGCCTATACATTGCAGGCAGCCTCTGCTGAGGTCAAACATCAGTGGACAAACATCATAGCCCAGCTGCTCTGGAGACAAGGTGTGAGCATGCCTGAGAGAGGATGGTCAGCTCAATAGGGGAATGTTTTGGTGGGTGGTGGGGTGGGGTTCTTAAAATGTTCTCTTCTTGAAAGAAAAGAAAGTGAGAAAAAGTTATATAAAATCTGCATCAAAGATTAACAATAACTTTATTTTGAAAACAAACAGTGCAATTTTCTAATAGTGTCATTACCTCCATAAGTTTAAAGAACTACATCAGACAAAACAAATGCTGCTTTCTGTGGTCCAAGGGGTTTGAAACAAAGGTGCAGCTTTGATGGTGTCATTTGATCACCAGCATCATCGTGACCAGGGCTTCTGGTTGGGCCTAATCTTGATACATTCCCAATGTTTTTTGGAAGGGGAGCTTTCATTTCAAGGCAGTTGGTCACTTCAGAACTGATAAGATACAAGGAGAAAAAAGCAATAACAAGCAGACTGAAACAGACAGTGCTTTGGTGCATTAACTCTAAGTAAATTAGAGGCCTACTCCCTTTACTATATACACAAGAAGAATTATAAAGAAGGGAAGAGTGAAAATAGATCTGCAAACAGTGAAAACTTGGATCAATCTCAGAACCTTTTTATCCGCAATCAGAAGGCCAGGAATGGGAAAAAAACCAACACTTTGTTGTTTGGCCCATGTGACCTGAAGATGTAGAAAGGTTTGTAGAAAAAAGTTTGTGGTTGAAGTAATGTTTTCTATTAGTGAGGTGGGAGAAAACTGTAGAGGGAGAGGTGTTCTCAAGGGAAGGGGTGCTGAATCAAAACGTCTTGGATGTTTGTCTCTTTTTTTTCCCCCTCACTCTCTCTTCAGCTGCCCAGCCAAGTGTCTCAATGAGCTTATCCTCCTGCCCTTCTCAGCGTTTAGCTCCTCTGGGCCTTGGCCCTGGCCCCCCTCCTGGCTTGTCACTGCCTGGACACTTTGAGGAAGAGGAATGGGACTTAGATGTCAAGCCCATCCCAAGAGGTAGGATCACTTCACTGCTCTTTTCTCAACCCTCTCAGAGGGTAGTAGTTGCTTCTGCTAGTGCTTAACTGTGTTCTGTGCTCCTCTTAGCTCACACATCAGGATCAGAGGGAGCCTCCCCAAGCCACCATGAACCACTTAGGCAGGGGAGAAGTTCACTGCCTGGCAGCAGTTCTGCTTTAGGACACCATCAGTCGGTGAGTTTATTCAGTGTTAAAATGCTTTTTGGTGACAGGGTCTGTACTGTAATTGAGTTCTTTCATTAGAATCTCATGATAAAGCTTTTTCTTGCCTGTATTATTTCAAGTTTTATGTGGGGAAAGGGAAATTGTGCAGGAATGCCCTTCCATTTGGAGAAGGTCTACTTTCAAAAACGTACAGAGGGAGGGTCTCAGCCCAGATGTCTCATTATTATAATCAACATCCCATAGAAGTGATACCCCTCAGTCCCTGGGGAGAAATGCCTACAACTTGAAATGCTGTGAATCAGGGAAGTTGAGTCTGCTGATTATAGAGATCATTACTAAGGTTGTGAACTGCCCTGAATGGAAAAGTGCCCCTAGGCGTTTCATAGCCACATAACCTGCCAATTCTGTCTGCCAATTCTGTCCCTTCACAAAGTTATGAAAGACCATCTTTCAGCTGCTGGTAACCTTGTGGCTGTTTGGACAGAATTTTATGTGCTTTGTGGGCCAAATGGTATGATTCAGCTATTCCACTCTTCCTCTCCAAGGTTCACTAGGCCATCCCTGATGGCTTCTATTTTTTTCTTTATTTGCCAGAGCTTTGGCATTGCCGGCGAACCAGTGACCCCACTCTGAGGTTGGGGCGGCCAGGTACAGCCCCCACGCCAAACTTCTCTGCCTTTGTGCAACTTCCCACCCTGTTCCTGTACATGCTCCCTCCCATCCCTATTCCCCTAAGCTGCAGCACATAATATTCCCAAGAGCCTTTCTTTCAGTCTGTATTACAGGGATACTTCAGGAAGTCTGCTTCATCCCTGTTAAATAAGTGATTCTATGTCCAGGTGCTCTTCCTTTTGTGTTTCACCGTCCTTTAGCTTCTTTGTCCTGTGTGCCACTGCCATGCAGTTGTCTTTATATTACTACTGCTGTTTAAAATTCCTCTAATAACTGTAGAGCTGGCTAACATAATGGCTAACAGTGTGAGCTGAGTTTTCTAGCCCTCCATCTGGATAATGAAATAATATCAACCAATCTTGCAGGGCTGTTGTAACATAATGGAAAACTTGATGCCTTCCAGTATTGTGGACTACAAGTTTCATCATCCCTTGCCATTGGCATGCTGACTGGAGCTGATGAGAGTAGAAATGGAACAGATCTGCAGGATATCAAGTTAGAAAGCAATTGAGCTAAAATGCTATGGACACTAAAAAAACGTGTGCTATAAAGTGCTGCTTTTTAATTGCATGTTGGTTAGTGCTATGTACTATTCTAAGGTTTAAAACTCATATTAAGTTTCATAAGGCCAGGATGGATTTTAAAGATTCAAATATAAACTACAGATATCTGGACTGAACACTTGAGAGGGAAGAATAGGTGGTCAACAAACATATTTAAAACTCTTAATGGCTTTCTAGATTCTGATTTGCTCTTGTTTCTTTTCAGCGTTGGGTGTGGAGCCTGCATCGGAAACTCTTTTCCCCGGGAAATCATGGAAGGCAGGATTCGGTTCCTAGGGACTCTGGGAACAGGACAGTTTGAGATCCCTGCAGCAATTTGGGGAATGGGGCACAAATGGATGCTCATATCCAACAATATTGTGACTTGCTCCCACCCAGTTTCCTGATGGCTCTGCTACCACTCCACAGAAGCATCTAGATTGGCCATATCCTACTATGGGATGTCCATGTCCTGCCTGATTACTACTCATTGAGTGCCTTTTCCACCATTTCCTTGGATTGTGAAATTCCTGGAGAGTTTTGGTCAAGCTGATACTATTGATAGTAAGAGGGGCTACCAGGCAAGGAAGCTCAACCAAGAAACTCCTAAGTTGATCCCATTAAAGGTTGCTGGGAAGAGGGAACTTGGTGGGCTGAATCATCTTCTACTGAGGATCAAATGTGATAATACCCAGAGTGTATGGATCTGTGCATTTATTGGGTGCCCTATCTCCAGTCACAGCTTCAGTCTTAAGATCGATTGGTATTTTGCTCAGTCCAGTGGGTGATGAAAGGAAGAATCCGGGCTGCAATTGTTAGGCAACTACAGCATCCATTTCCTGAACCTCCTGCAAGCTAATTCTAGAGAAAAAGGAAGAAAGAGGGCATCTGGGCTACATGGAGGGGTATGTGATTGCTATAGAATATAAAAGTACCCCCATCTAAAACGGGACAGGTAGCTTCAGCTGATTCACTCAAGATCAGAAGAGCAGTATGACAATACAGGAATGATGTAGCAGTATGCACGATGCTGTAGACCTTCACAAGATAACATTTTTTCTGGGACTGTGCCACTTTCAAATGCAAAGGGGATGCTTGCCAATATAATTTTGGGATTTTAAGCTGCTTTTATTTTGCATCTTCTTTTGTAGAGTAACTTGCATGGCAAGGAGAGTTAAGATATCTTAGATATCTGTTTTATGTTTGGTAATATTTCTGTGCAGGGAGTTTTGAAGAGCAAGAGTACTTAGTTAAAGGAATCTTACACCCCTACAGTCTTGCAGTCTGAAGACATATAAGAATGGTTGTTCCATGATTGTGCTGAACAAAAGGAACAGATCCTTGCACCACACACATACACCTTTAATTTTTTCTAGTTTGATTTTGAGATGATTAAATAATATCACCATATGGCTTGCTGAAAGGACAAGATTTGTACAAAACCAATTCCTATGTGAAAAACTCCTTTGCAGTGTGAGTGAAAACATCAAAGACTGGGGGAGAGAGATGGTTGCTTTTCCCTGTAGCATAAGGTTTGGCTTATTTGTTGGAGCTCTGGAAAATGCCTTTCTTTAGTGAAGCCAGTTGCCTTTTTTTTTTTTTTTTTACATGTGGTATACTATGATTCTGACTGGAGGAACTAATGTATGAAGGACTAACAAATGGTGCTATATTTAGAGTTGGGCAAAGGATTCCAATTTTTGAAGGGGTAGTATTGTGACTCTACTATTGGATACAGGTAATTTTCTTTCTAATTTGGTAAGTTGAGTTGTTTGACATATGTCCCTTTTTTTTATATGTCCTTAGGAATTTAATGTAGGACTTTCTCTTACGCCCACATAAAAAGGTGATAAAAATCACTGGGTTGAATTCATATTAAGATAGTTGCACTTGTCTCAATGATTTTCAGTGGGAATAAAGGGCAATTCAATATCAGTCATATCTATTGTGATCATACTGTATTCCTTCAAAAGCAAACAGAAATTGTAAGAAGATGCAAGAAGATGTAATGTAGAATATAAATTTGTAACATTGGTATAATGCACTGGGACCAAACAGTATTAGTAAATATTTGAGCATTGTGGTAAATGCCACTAAACATAGTTATTGTGCCATGACTCTTCTTCCACTTTTTAAACATCCTGAGCTGTCAGTCCCCTTCAACTAAAAGGACTGCAACAGCACATACATATCTCTTTTGCTATGCATTTCTATTAATTATGTGGGCCTACAATATTTTTTCCCTTTTTAGAATTAATTCCTTTGTTTGTAACCACTTTTGGATGGGACTGGTGCTCATTTATGTTTTGCCTTAACCCACTAGCATAAACTACAGTGCACAAAAGCTGCTTAAACCTTGTTAAAATGGCACCAATGAGGTTTAATTCTCACCATACAGTACATTAAGTTGTAAGATGTATCAGAACTATGTAACTTGAAGAGCAACAAGATGGGATGCTTAAAACTCTGCCAACAGTAAAAGAATATATGTGTTGATTTGAAGAGCAAAAAGGACTGATGGGTGACACATGTACAAACTGTCTCTTACAAACTGTTTATATCTTCTTGCATATTCTTTTTCTATACAGCTTCTTCTTAAAAGGTCAACACTAGGATTACCCCAGTTGCATTGTTAACTGTTTTGTTTTTGTTCTAAATTGCAGACCTAGCTGACCATAGTAAGCTAAGCTAAATCAGATCTAGTTAGGAAACTTGGATGGGAGACCACCAGGAAATAGCAGGGCTATAGGTAAAACTGGGAAGTCAAAAAGCATCCTGGAAGAAGACAGTTGCAAACCACTTCTATATTGTTGCTCTCCCAAAACCTCTAAGCAGGAAGTCAATAGGAGACAAGGAAGTCTTTTTAATTGTGCATAGACCTACCCAATCAATAGGACCAACATCAAGGAGGCTTACTCTTTCATGAGCCATAGTCCCAAAGAGAATCACCTACTCTGCAATTAGCTATAGAGAGAAACAGTTTCCCTCGGTAGGAATTAACTGTTTCCCCTCAGGCTGTTTATCCATACCTGTGTAAACTAGTCCTGGTAACCCTCTTCCTCCCCGCCCCTTTGCTAGTATTACAATATAGCATTTTGGTTAACACACAATTAAGAGTAATGCCTAATTTGAGTTTTAGAGTAACTCCAATAGTGGAAGAGATTGATAGTGAATAAGGGACAGGATTCAACATCCTTACCCTGGCTTTTCTTTTGCTGCTCAAATCAGACGATACTCCCTCCCTCTTTCATATTTGGGCCACTCCATGCTTAAGTGGAGGGAACTGCAGCATGCAATTAACAATATCCCCACTCCCGCCCCCAATATTTCCTGCCTGGACAAAATGGGAAAGTGAGAAATAAGGCTTTGCTGGGAGCAAAACACTTATAACATCCAGTCATTAGAGTGTATTTAGCCCAGATTTTTGTAGTGTCTGCAATTTTACATGTTTACTGGTTTCAAGTTCTACATTGTATTTCAATGTTATATACTGAGGAACCAATGAGGGAAGATGGGGGCTCATTTGAGGAAGTTTTTGGTTGCTTTGTGGGCTGTGTAGATGGGGAATGCTTTTAACTATGCTGGTTTACAAAAATCAGAATGGATAAATTGATATTGGAATGGAATGTTCAGCGTTTTAGAACTTTAAGGCCCAGCTTTCATGGGAAAAATAAAATATGATGGGGGTATCAAGCAAATTTTAATCTATCTGAGAAGTGATTTATAGTTATTACCTTCTATAAATGCAAGGCATTGTAAGTACTAAGCAGCGAGCTGATACTCCATCAGATTTGCCTAACAAGATTATACTTTTTATAAAAGCATGCTGAAACATTAGTCATTTCTGTCCTTCAGCTCTAAAAGCTACTGTATTGTTTTTTCTTCATATTATCTTGATTCTCTACCAATGTTAAATGGAATATAATTAGCCAGGCTCGTGTTGTTTGTTCTTAGATTTGGGCAGTTTTGTTTTTATATGCCGCTTTTACTATCGCACCAACTCTCCCATCCTTTAGATTTTTCTTTCACTTGGAGGGGTCTCTAATGGAAAAACAACTCTTTATTTATCAGTAGGGGTTAGCAACTCAGCAACTCTTTATTTATAAGTAGAGGTTAGTTTTACAAGGCTGGAATTAGGTACTCATTTGGACAGCAATCCCATTGAAATCAGTGGGACCTCTGAGTTACAAATAGGTGGTTAATGTATGTAGCTGTATCTGCACAGTTTTATTAAACCTGCCTTTACCCCTTCCCTCAGCAGAGCAGGGCTTTTTTGCTCACACTGTCATTTATCCATTTACTTGCCCTGGCTTCTGAATAGCCCCCCCTCCCCCTTTGGGGGGGCAACACAATGCCAAGCTGATTTGGCCTCTTTCCCATCTGTTTTTCTGACTTAGATATTTGGCTTGTGTGCTCACTTTCCCATTCTTTAGAGGGCTACATAAGAGGTAGATAAAAACCTGACTTGTGGTTGCTTGGCAACCAGAATGTTCCTTTTCCCCGACTGACCTGAGTGGCTGAGCAGCAGCACTGAGAGGCCCTTCCATCAGACCACATGCCTGGAAGGACCATTCAGGTCTGCTTGTCAGCAGTGTGGCGTAACAAAGCAGACAGGGCTTGACTCTTGCTCGGTGGTAGCACAACCTACCTGTTGCTGCTGCTGCTGCTCGCAAACTTGGCTTCTGCCCACAGCAGAGTGCAATGTCGCAGTGGAATCTTGCCTTCCTGTCCCTCCCTGTGCTTCCACCATCCATCCATCCAGCATCCCACCCTTTGTCCCAGCAGCGCTCTCGATCTTGGCTCCGCCAGCCTTAAAGGAGAGAAGGCTTTGGGACATGGAAGTGGCTGCATGGTCAGATACCAGCTAGTGATGCCAACCCTGGCCTTTGCTTTCAGGCAGGGCACAGCAAACAAAACAAAGCTCGTCTGTGCCTAGCTATGCTGGGCTAACACTCTGCTGCCCTCCCTTTCCTGCCAGGGACACTCCGTCATCCCAAAAATTTGTACTGATCCCTTCCACTAATGTGCAGCAAAGCAGACAATGCTTGCTTGTGCCAAGTTACCAGCTCCTCTGCCCACCCCCCTTCATGGCCCAACCGAGCAGGCTGAGACAGGCTGATCCTGCCTCTCCAATCCTCTGCTCTGTAATCTTCAATTGCACTACTGTTTGCTTGGCTCCAGCAGCGGCAGGGAGTTCTTGGCTTATGGTGGTGCTACTTTTTCTCCTCCTGTATCAAATACCACCCCCGAACAGGCTGTGTCCCTCCGCGGGCCCCCACCAAAGCGCAAACAATAACTTGTGCCAGAGTAGTGCCACCCATCTTCCTCCCATTCTCTCTCCAGCGGGCAAATGGAGCAAATGGCAACCTACTATTCTCTGGCATTGTCTCTCCGATCACCCCTCGGGCCCCCCTGGCAAAGACGCGCCGGAGTGGGGTGCCTACCTCCGTGCACGAATGTTTCGCATTTTACCACCCGTGCCCAAGCAGGCGGCGGCAGATCTCGGGTGTCCCTTTCCTTCCTCCCCCCTCCCCTCCAACCCGGGCTGCCCCCTCCCTCGAGGCACGGCTGCCCCGGCCGAGCCGGAGCGCACAATGGAGCCGGGTGATCCCTCGCCGCGCAAGGCTCAGAAATGCAAATCGCCGCCGCTGCCTGCGGCTCCGTACAATG